CGGGAATACCAATAATAATAATACGGAAATATTAGGAAAAATATTAGGAAAAACTAGCCGAGATAATGGAGATTGGAAAATTTGAACTCCCATTGATCAATGGAGTCTCCAAGTACAACACATGCGTCAAAGTATGACCTAGTAATCGTTTGCCCCGTCGATTGGTCCCTGACCGTTATCCTTATTCAATGGGTGCTGCAAAGAAATATTTTACAGTGTCAGGTGTATAATATAAATAAATATAAAGGGGTTGCAAGGGGTGGAAATGTAATTATCCGAAAATGTTAGGGCTGATTTCATAATTACAGTAAAATGGGAGGAAATAATGGGTGGTGTAAACAATATTTTTAATATTGTCAGGTGTATAATATAATAATAAAAAGGGCTTGCAAGGGATGGAAATGTAATTATAGAAAAATGTTAGGGCTGATTTTGTAATTAAAAGTGAATGGGAGAGGAAAAGAATGGGTGCAACAAGCAATATTGTAAAAAATACTGGGGTAATATAATATTAAAAAGGGATTATGAGGGGTGGAAATGTAATTATCCGAAAATGTTAGGGCTGATTTTATAGTTACAGGAAAATGAAAGAAAATAATGGGTGCAGTTGGCAATAATTTAAAATTTTCAGATGTATAAACTAATAATAAAAATACCTTCCAAGGGATGGAAATGTAATTATACAAAAATGTTAGGGCTGATTTTGTAATTAAAAGTGAATGGGAGAGGAAAAGAATGGGTGCAACAAGCCATATCCAACCAACCAAACCCGAGATACCATCCATACTTCACTTATCCATACAGTGTCATTTTCCAATTAAGCCCTAATCCCATCCCACCCCATCCCTCCAACCAAAAGGGGCCACAATTAAGTTCGAAGTCAAAACGCATTACTAAAATTGAAACGACATTTAACATTTAAGATTAAAAAATTATCACCCACATACAAAGTTAACAATAATATAGTATTTGACCAATAATACGAATCTTGTATGGTTGTGACATCGCTAGCAAACAAACAAAACACACATCACATTAATTATGAAGAAATTAATTAATTTCATAATGTTGGTGGGTTTTTTAATTGTCCTTTGCAAAACAATTCTGCAAAAACCATGATTTTGTCTGCAATATTTTATATTATTATTATTATGTGCTCTATGCATGATTATGTTTTAATTTTAACATATTGATGTGTGTAGAAAGCATATTATAGGTCGGTAGAGATTAATATAATAAGTTCAAATTACGAAAAACTTCTCGTGTTTGAATAATCACAATCAGCCGTCTCAATTATTTATTATTCTTACTAATAAATTCAATAGGTAACTTTGACACTATAGAAGGAGACATTTACGACAATATATCTTTGAAAGGTAGTTATAAAGAAAGAAGAATTTTTTTTGTAATTTAACGTACCTTAGAGTTCGATTGTATTTTGTCGGTATAATTAATAAAGTAGTTTGATGTGATTATATTATATATACATAAAATTATTTATATATCATGTAATGTCATGATCATGGGATTGTCATGACATATCTTGTCCGGATAACAGTTTGTCAAGAAAATTACATTTAATTATCGAAAGAGTACACTTACAATATTT